CATTATCTTCATATATTTGACCCCAAAACATTTTTAAAAGTTTGGCAACAAGGTACAAAGTTTGTCTTCCAATGCATCCACTGTAGAGAAAAATCTTCTCACCCTTAAGAAGCAGTAAATATTATCTAAATAAAGTCACTTTGAGATATGTTTGGTACACTGAGGCAACTTCCAGCTACAACTGGAAAATGCAAATACTATTTAGAGTATTTTTCAGGTGCTCTAACATTTGCATGCCTAGATTCTACCATCCTGAAAGCAATGAGGCTCAGCGAGCTGAGCTTTGAAGGCACCAAATACGTTTTGCAGAAACTTCAAAAATTATTTATCAGTTTATGTTTCAAGTAACTGCATGTTGCACACAATTTTAAAACTAATGAGTAGCACATTCGTAACACATGAAAATACAAAAAGCAGTCTTTCAGTAAGGAAGCCTCTCATTATACTTCTAATTGCTTATCCGCTGAACTTCCCACCTATATTTCCTGAAGTGTGTATCTTTCTTTCACTAAGGTTGCCCTAAATTGAGTCCATGCCTTGGTCTTCCTCCTATATGGAAGTCAAAAGTTGTCATAAATATTCTTTCTCAAATTTGATGACAAATTGCTTTAAAAAAAATCAAAATTATGTGAAATTCAGCAAGTTCAATGAAGTTTCTTTCTGAAATATTAATATAAAACTTGAACTCAGAAGAATGAAAATCATATGACTGAAAAGCTTTCATAATAATGCAATTTCAACTGCTTTCTCAAGATGAGCCTATGATGACATGAAAAAAGAAGAGGCATTGACATTTTCCAAACCTGTACTCAACCTCTTGAATAAATGTTTCATCTAAATGTTGATATTCATTTGTCTGATCTCTAAACGTTAAGAGTTTAACTATTTAAAACCAAGAATTCCAACTAATGCACCTTGCCAGAGCATATAAAGTGCAATGCAAGTCAAAGCACATTAAAGATAAGCATGTGTTTAATGGCAATATTCACTTCTATTACTTCAATCCTGTCAATAAGAAGGATAGGAAATTAGGATTAATCAAGGATCTAGGCAGAGTGTTCCACAGTGTTCAAAGTACTTAATGTAATGAAGTTTAGTTAAACTGCTTTCTATTAACTTTCCAGGCACAGATAATTTCTTGCATTTTAAAAATAGAAATGTTGATATGTAACATCATTATTATTTTCAGCTGCCTGTAGTAATAACAGATCTACCTAGAGTATGGAACCTCAGAGTGTGAACAAAGTACAATTCACTTTAAGAAAGGTGAAGGATGTCCTTCCAGGCAGACACAAAAAATTTTACTGCAAATAGTTTAATCACAGCTGTTGAATACTAAGAAAATCTTTGACAAACACAACCTTCCTTGTCTGTAAAAATAGTAAGCACACAAGAAAGTGTGAGATCTTATCCCAGAATTTTAACTGACAAAAAAGGCAGGGGATTCAAAGCAATCACAGATGTACCACACCTTGACTTATCCAATAAAGTTTTCACCAAAGCCAACTTTCATTTAGTAAAAAAAAAACAAAGGAGGAGAAGGCAGTGAGGCTTTGTGAAGTGCTTTCTCAGCATCAAACAAGGTACTGACTGCTAGAGTATTTGACACTCATTTAATGGATGAAAGGGAAAATTACATGTCAGTAATTCCTGCTGTCATAGTCCTCAATACCTAACCCTGTGCCAGACTTTCAAGGACAAACATGATGGTTCCTTCCACTAGTAAATAAAGAGGAGAAAGATCAATCAATAAATTCATGGATCTGAAAGTCTGTGTTGAACTCCTTCTTTTACACAACCCTATACAAAGGAGTTGAAGATAACACCTAAAACAAGCAGAGAGAAAGAAGGAATATATAGTTGCTGTTGGACCTCTGAAAGGAGTAAAGTGGATGAGAAATGACAGGGCTATGAAGAGCAAATTAGCAGTACGTACTTTTTAATTTCAATTTTCTCCTTTCTGTGATCTTAAAAAAAAAAGCAGAAACAATTTTCACAAAGGGAAGATTTCCTTTACTGTACCAGTCAGAGGATCTCACACCTCAAGAAATTATATTCAGCTGCTGCTGCTTTTCATGGCATGAAGAGATAACCAAAACGTTATATGGTATGCTCTAATACAGAAACCTCATCTCTGAATTTCAAAGTTATGAAACAGCGACTGTCAAGGCACTTGCATACATATGGTTAATTGGAGTACACATGATTAAGCAATATTCTCTGATCTTTGAGGAAAACTGCTTGCAGCACAAAACACTTAATTTGGGGTGCAGGAAAGGTAAAAGCCTGAAACGGGAAGACTATTGCAATTGTCTAATGAGTAGCCAGTCGCGATATATCTCTTAGAAAATCAAAGGTAGCTTCACCTTCGAGAAGTAAAAAATAACATGCAGGGCCTTAAGTTCTAGCTGAGGGAACTAAGTGAGACTTTCGCTTTGACCTGAATTAACTTCAATTTTAATTTTAAAAGGACGTTAAAAAACCAAGGGTGAGATCATTAAAGCTCACCTTCCTGTTTTGAAACTAGAAAAACTTTGTCCATTTCTTCAGGAGAGTTCTGATGAACCTTACATTAACTGCCACAGATAACAGAAGCTTCTGTCAGAATGACTCTTCTCATTCTGTTCTTGAAGCTGTTTATCCAAATTTCAACATAGCATAAGAATGAATAGAGTTTATTAAAAATTGGACTTCCTTTCTCATTAAGTTTACACATCCCAGTGAACTATGTAAATGCCTTGTGCACAATAAGAAACTAAACTTTCTGGAAGACTCAATAAGGTGTAATAGTTCATGTTTCGTGGCATTTTCGGTAATCCTGATATCTAATCATCTATCCTCTAGTAAAAGAAGAGTTAATAAAACAACTGAGGGAAAACTGATGAGATAAAAAAAAATTAGAAGAGGAAGAAATGTTTAAGCAAGCTAAGGAATGTAGAAAAGAAAACGATACCAAATCTATGAATTCTACATAAAATGCACGCTGCAAAAAATACACAGCTTCACTAAGGGGTAGCATCTCTAGACAAGTAGCAGCACAATATTAGGAGCTTATGTCATTTCAACAGTAAAAGCTAGTAAATCTCCTACAATTTAGACAGGAAGCTGCAGATATTTGTTTCAGATGTACCCATACTGTCCAGGTTTCTAAACAAAAGCCCTTTTCCAGGAATCTACTTGCAGTCTTCAGTGAAAATATGATAAATATTCTTTAATAAACTGAAATGAAACTCAATTTGACATTTTAGTTCATGGACTTCTTAAAGATTTAAGTTCCAAGAGTAAAATTTCGAAACTGCAAGACAAAGAAATGAACTAACTTTTCCCATTCTTTAGAAAGAAGGAGAATTTCGGCATTGCACACTCCATTTTCTTGAAGCAAAGAGCTCTATGATCATATACCACAGTATCTTTTATTTTTATTTCACAATAACTGCTGACAAAACACCAACGAGAATGTTGCAATATATTCCTCTTTAACCAACATTATAGAAAATAAGATTTGTAGTTCTTGATTTTACTATTGATCCATGAAGCTTGTATCCTTCATTTTTGAAAAAAAATCTAAGTTGTTTGGAACAACTTTTCATTTTATAAAGACTCATTTTTTGTTTGTCCAACTTAATAAACGTCTCTATGATCTAAACACGAAATGCTCTTTTATATCAATTACAACGATATCCAGCAAGCCAAATTCCAGTTACTTTTGTTTCCTCTTCTTACAATCTGTATAAGGCTGAAGGGTCAGAATATTGATTTCTGCAGTAGTCTACAAAAGAATGCAGCACGCTTAAATGTTTAACTCAACAAGTGTTTCATCTTATAACCATTTTTTCTAAGAATTTCTAATTATTATTAACCGAATGTTTATGAAAAGTTTATTTCTACCTTCTTTTTAATATAGGGGAAAAAAAACTGACAGAACAGTATTTTTCCAGACACAGACATACTACTTCAGCTAATTCTAATTTATGCAGCATGTGTCTGATTTCCAAGCTTAACACTCATACCTTGTTCAATCCATTTGTTTTGCCTGTATTCTGCTAAGATATGAGGAGTTCACATGATGGGCATGTCATTTGCATAACACTGAATATTATATTCATTCCACAGAAATCTCAAGCAAGCATTCTATATTCCAAATGACTTCTAAAACAAAGTTATTCCACATTTGTTGAACTGATTATGTGAAGAACAAATGATGGATGATTTGAAGATAAAATTCAGTGTATAAACATTGTCATCTACAGCATTTCACTATGCTAATATCATAAAAGACTGCCAGATTCTATTGCATTCATAATTAGAATGATTACATTGTAATTCAGGATGTGTTTTTCATAAAAATTAAGAGAATGAGTTTTAATACAACCAAAGCCACGTATACCAAGTTTACCTATACAAGACAGATGTCAGTTCAGATGAAGATTTGTTTTTCTACTTCAATTATAAATTTTGCTACTGCAATTATAAATCTAAACTTACACCTACAACAAAATATTAAAATACTACAAAGAATTTGAACTGCACAAGAAGCATATGTAAACAAGATTACCCATACAACAATAAGGGTAAACTTGGAGAGAAAAGAACAGAATACTCTAAGAAAATATTTTCAAGTTCACAGTATGTTTAAATCAAACATCTCTTTTACATTTTTGATCTGGATTAAATTCAATGTTCTGTCTATTTTCATAGACGGTCCATGTTAAATCATAACAGCTGCAATCCAAAATGTTTTTCAGCAAAGAGACAGTAGTTATTTTAATACTGGGTTATGATAGACATGACCTTACTTCTTTTGTAATAAATTGCAGATTACACTTTTGGAATGCTTTCAAATTATTTCACACCTTGTGAGTTTGCTTTATTAGACATCTGATACTTTCATGCATCATTTCTTATTTTTCAGCAGTCCCCGTCTATAGCAGAAGCAGGAGTATACCAGGAAAAAAACCTTGCTGTGGAGTTTCAGTATAAATGAAATAAAACAAACTTACCATGTTCCATCCTGGGTAGAGGTAGTCTGTCCCAATAAATTCAAAATAGTGAGCAAAACCCTCTTTCAACCACACATCCTCCCACCAAACTGGAGTCACGAGGTCACCAAACCACTGCAAAGGAAGTTTACATAAAAAAAAAAAAAAAAAAAAAAACCTTTTAGAAAATAATGCTTGCTTGCATATATCACTTTATAGAGAGCAGATTCTTCACAAGTTTCAATAAAAGCAGTAGCTTATAGCATTCAGAGGACAAGCAGATTTTTTTCATATACTATTGAATTAAGCCTTTTTACAGGATGCACATAAATTACTTAAATAAAATATTAGAAAAGAACTAATATGCACAGCATTGCTTTACTTATCTAAAGTAGATGCTCACCTCTGTTTAAGGAAGTAACCAATACAACAAGAGAAAAATGTGAAACCAGCTTATTTGAGGTAGGAACACATGGAAACTTCACTATGTATAGTGTGAATATTTAAGAACTGGAAACATAAGCTCTCTCTCTATTCTAGGCCTATATTTCAGCATTTTTTCCTCTGTAAGGTCTGCCTGTTAAGATTTACAACAATACTGACATTCATTGGCCCCTTTCCTAAGAAAAGCTGTTTCATGCAACCCCCACTGTGAGTAAGCCTCAGCACTCTCAAAACAGGGAGTTGATCTGGGTTGTAGCCAGAAACCTATCATGGCAGAGAACATGCAGATGCCACAAGGATTTTAGCCAAAGATAGGATGATTGCCAGAAAAGGAATGGGGACAAATAAATACAAGAAATCGGGCTTTATCAATTCTACTGCTCACGAATCACGCCATATAAATGATTGTAATGACTCTGGGCAACCTGGGAATATCTAAACATAAGTGACAAGAGCAGAAACACACGCATTATTACAGAAAGTTATTTCACAGTCTCTGTAAAATCCTTTGCCAAAAAACAAACTTTGGCTGCTGGAAACAAACTTATTTTTAATGTGCTCAGAAGAGAGTCATTAGTAATCAACAGGGATAATTTTGAGTTTTCGTATAGTTTTAAACTGATAGTAAACAGAAAGGGAGCAAATAAGTATTCCAGAGGGAGGCAACACACATGGACAGGTGCTGCTGCTGACACAAGTGAGAGAAGAAAATGAAGGAACATGGGGTTGGCCAAGTAAGCAGTTTCTTTTTAGGATGATTGGCATATCTGAAGGCTTTGTCCAGCATCTCAATGAAAGATCTTGCTTCTGTGCACGTCTTTGTTGAGGGAGAATAGCGCACGGGGAGGATCAATGCCATGACTACGATCCTTCATGAAATGAACACAGGAGCTCCAAAGAACAGATGACAGAAACAGAGATTAACAGATTGCCCCACAGTGTTCAGTAAATAGGATTTGAAAGAAAAATGAAGCAAAATGCGAAATTGAACATTAGCGGCAATGAACTGAAGAATTTCAGGGTAAAAGATGGGGTTGACAAAAGTCTTATTCACATGCTAAGTGAAACAAACTTACTGGATAGTTGAACATAACATAGCTAAGAGTTATTAAATTAACTCTCTACGGGACCAACAGAGATAAAGATCGATCTTAAGAATATTTATCTGAAAAGGTAAAGAACTACTGAAAATCTTTTTATGTATATAATGCACAATTTTAAAAATTAGAGTAATACGTTACCAAAGTAGTACAAAAATTATACTTATTCTAGAATACGTTGACTAAATGATTTCTAATGCTAAAAAGGTTAAACACAGCATCGCAGTGCTTATGTCTTGAATTACAAGACTGCTGAACAGATTAGAAACCAGTAACAGTCAGGGTATACTACAACTGCTCAGAAAGAGGTTTAAACAGTAAAACTTATCAAATTTGTAATATATATTCTTGCAACTCAAAAGAATTTGTAAAATTATTTGTTAAAGTAGAACAGTGAAATACTTTAAAGTTAGATTTAAAAAAAAAAAAAAGACTTAAGAAGGAGCCTAGCTTTATCATCTTAGCTGAAAAGTGGAAAATATGAATTTTGCTGCATTCCCAATATTTGTTGTCAGAATCAATATTTCATTTATTCCTCTAGGAGATTAATGTGCTTATTTAGTAATGACAAAATTAAAAGTTTTCATTGTCATTTAATCATCCAGGAAGAAAACTATTTAACAGGAATTAAAACAGCATATAATATCAGTATGAAACCATCAGGAATTTGCCTAACTAGTCTTGAATATCATAGAGAATATTACTGTTAGAGAAAGCAGTCCCAGAGAATGCAATTAATGAAGACCAATATTCAAGAAGAATTGTACGATTATCGTTATAGGTGTTACATGTCTGAAAGGGAAACATTAAGTGAAGCATTTCATTTAAGTAATTGCTCATGTGTTTATTTATTTGTGTGTTTGAAGAGGGATGCTATTTGCCCTGAGTGACAATGTCATTTTTTTTTTTCATTTTCGGAAAGAAAAACGAATTGAAATACATTGGTTACATAAATTGCTTGTTTCCCTCAGTTATTTGTGTTCATCCTGACGCAAAAGGCACTTACCTTCATTACAGACACACTGAAAAGGTACTCCTTCCCATGCACTTTTCTTACAGATTATTAAAAAAAAAAAAAAAAAAAAAACAGTGGCTTAGGGTTTTTTAATTTTCCTTCTGCATTCATGCATGCTTAACTCAAGTTTTGTGCTCAGGGGGGAGAACTAACAAAAAATTATGGTGATTAAATTCAAACAACTTTTTCTTCAAAGGCTGTAAGTGGGGTTGATCTGTGATATGCAAATAAAATGGATTGCTAATTTAACAGAATTATTTTAATAAATTATGGTAATTATTTTGAGCTATTAACTTAAGATGCTATAAATATGTGTGTATTGACTAATATATCATTTGTGTTCTGGGGCTCGGAGGGAAAGCTTTAATGCAGAAATACTCCACCTTCTGCCATTTATTAATTTTTTTAAAAATCCTTGAAGTGTTCTAAAACATTCAAGCTGTAATATCAAGCACTAGAAGCCTAAAAAAGATAAACTAAAGCTAGCTGCATTAAATACGTCCTTCCTAAAACTTGTATCTAAAATAAGAATCTAGTCAAGCATTACAAAGTCACCTGTGAAGAAATCAGGCATAAAATTCTCTCTTGAATTCTTTGCACGTGTACTTTGAGGACCACAGAATTTCTCTGTAATTCTGCAATGATGCCTCTGTGTTCTAAAAACTGCAGTTCACGACCAAATGCATATAAAATGCTCAATTGGTATAGGAATTCCAATCTTGAACAGTCACACCTAGTTTACAATCCCAATTCTTAATTTTATCAATTTATTTGAATCGCAGGTATATCATTTGCTGTGTTACTGTAAGGGACAAAGGCATCATATGGCACAGTTCCATACTGTACTAAAATATGCTGTGTATGTATTCAAGTAGACTTTAAAATCAAGGAGTACTATATGATGAAACAGGGCAACGACACAGTTCTTCTTTAATAACAAAAAGAAAAACAAACAAACAAACAAACATATTTTAGGGCAGTTCCCTTTCATCTTATTGGAAATCTTCAAAATTACATTAAATATAAAGTAAAGCTGTAGATATCGAATCTACTTGTGGCAATGTCAGTAGAGATTTTCATTAGTCCTTGTTTTTCAATGTATAAAAATCAGTGAAGAGATATTCTTGAACCACCACAGTTTAGAAGACTAGGCTATGAACAAGAGAATGAAAAATACATTGAATAATTAACAATTAAATAGCAGAGGCAAGAGATCTTGGACCCAATCTGACCTCAGTTCAAAATAGAGCAAAGATACTATCATTTATGCTCCTGACCTACATGAGCCAGAGTTATAGTTTCCTTGAGGAAACTGCAGCAGAAAACTCTGGTTACAGAATAAACAATACTGTCTTGGCTATATCAGTGTTTTGTATTATGTATTTTTGGAGGGCTTCTGTCTTTAAATTTTATTTGCAGTTGAATGATCTGTATTCTATGTGACTCAATTCTGCATTTAAAAAGTAGAGTATTAACTATTGTATCAATTCACCCACTAAGCCGAGCAAGGCCTTGATATGTATAACACTAAAACAGAAACTGCAGCAACAAGAATGAAGGAAGATACTTCTGATTAAGTGAACATTCCTGGAGTAAAATGAGAACAGACACCAAATAAGTTTCTCATTCGCACTTTTAAGGCCACTTAAGAGCACACAGCTACCATAAAATAAATTCACATATAGTCTTCTCCAACTCTGATGTTGTCTGAAGTTCCCAAAATAATAAATTGACAGAGAGGTTCAATGAGAATCAGTTCCAATGAGAATCAAACAAATAAACTTTGCAAGCTATTGATGTTATAATTGCTCACATATTACATATAAACTGCTTTGGAAGGAGAGGAAATTATTTCAGCAGCGAAAAAAATAACTGGAAGCAATGAAATGACTTCAGAAAAAGGAAGACTTGAGCAGAATGCAAAGAAAAAGTTATCAATTGTTGGATTTAAAGAGTTACAGAAAAGGTTCTGAAGGAGACTGCAAAAAACCCTGTACTCAGGAACACTGAACTAGAAAAAACCCACCCACACTAGAAAAAAAACCACCATGTGGCAGAACGTAATACTAACCAGAGTTGGGATTTGGTGATCTAATATGTGTTTTCCACATCTTAATCCTCAGGCACCATGATTTTTCTAGCTGAACAGTGTGCTACTCTACTGTACTGCGCAATAAAGAGCATATAACAAAATAAGATGATCACACTGAGAACAAACCAGCAATAACTTTCAATTAAAATGTCATGTTTTAGCTGAGGATTTAATATTCATCTACAGATTTAATGTGAAACATGAATACGAACCAAGCATTATTATTTCCAGGTTCATCTACCGTAACTCTATTATGAAGGCTCCCTTTTATATGGTACTTATATTTGCAGAAAGTGTTAAGAATATGCACTGCATTTTAAAGAATACTGTGTAAAGTCACAGATGTAAGCCATGCTGATTACACAGTTGGATTTTAACCTGAGGGCTATGATTATGCCTGTTATGAGTATAAGAAAGGGTTTCCTGGCCCTCAAGCACATTTCTTCAATAACATTTGCATTCCACTCAATATTACTAAACAGTCATAATGTGTTTAGTTGGAGATAAGATGGAAGAAATATGAAACAAATTGTAATATGGATTTATTACAGAGTTTTTTTATTGATAAAAATGTTTTTTTGTACATATAAAGACTCGATTGTCCATCATGAGTGAACAGAGGGTTAATACCAAACTTAAAAAAGGAAAAGAGAAGTGCATGTATATGTGAGAGGAGACGAGTAAGACTATCAAGTTGATTTCAGCCAAAGCATTTTTTGACATGAACGTGCAACTCAGTATGAATCTGCTATGGTTCTGCAATAAATTCTTTTCTACCATTTTCAATGCGTATAATCTTCTGAACAACACACAAAACACATATGTTAAAATCATACAGAAGATAAGCAAGTTCTTTGTTACTGATTTTCTTCTTTACCCCCATTCTGACTCTTGTTTTTGCATTCTAGTTATGTGTCTTATAGATCCTCCTGTTATTTGGACTACACTCACAATAAAAGCTGTAACTGTGCAAATTCATTTTCAGTTTTGAAAAGGAATGCATGGTTTCTGATATAAGTACTATGTATCTGAACACTTTGAATACCTGATGACATAGCTCATGTACAATGACCATGGTGACATCCAGCAGGTATGATATAGAAGAAATGCTTGGATCCAGTAGTATCCTTTGCTCCACAAAAACACTCAGTCCCCAGTTCTCCATAGCAGCATAGGGATGTTTAGGCACAGCTAACAGATCTGAAAACAAAGAAAAAAATATGTTAACTTCCTTTGAAAGATATTTTACTGAAGAGCTATTGTAGATAAAGCCATAAACAATCATTAAAAACATTTTAAATAACATAAACATAAAAACAGGACTGTTAATTTCAGCTCTCTAGCATTTCTACTTAGGAAACATTAATAAAATATCAATTTTTGTTCTTATATCACTACTTGTTAATGATAGTTATGTTATTTATGTAACAGTATTTAGTACTTTTAATTGAAGAAATTACCTATATAGAGTATAGATTATTTTAAAATATCTTGATGTAGATTTACTGATGAGTTTGATGCTACTTCTCATGTTTACTACACCACAATGAAAGCAGTAGCATAGATTTTAACAAAAGTATTGTGTATCTTTTCATTAAAGTGACTTCTTTATGAACATCTTTCAAGTCAAACTATATGTAAGGATATACATTAGGGGAAGAATGAAGAAATCTTGTTTCATAACAATTAGAAAGAATCATAGAATCATCACAGAATCATAGAATCACAAGTTTGGAAACAACGTGCAAGATCATCTAGTCCGACCATCTTCTCATTACCACTGCTACCACAGGCACTAACGCATATCTTGAAGCTCCTCATCCAGACGCCTCTTGAACACTGCCAGGGACGGCAACTCCACCACCTCCCTGGGCAGCCATTCCAGTGCCTGACCACTCTCTAAGAGAAATAGTTTTTTCTCATGTCTAACCTAAACATCCCCTGGTACAATTTGCGGCCATTTCTCCGGGTCCTGTTTGTTGCCTGGGACAAGAGGCCAAACCCCTCCTCACCCCAACCTCCCTTTGGGAAGTTATAGAGTGCAATGAGGTCTCCCCTGAGCCTCCTCTTCTCCAGAATGAACAATCCGAGTTCCCTCAGCTGCTCCTCATAAGCCCTGTGCTCCAGACCCCTCACCCCCCTTCTCTGGACACGCTCCAGGGCCTCAATGTCTTTCTTGTAGTGAGGGGCCCAAAACTGAACACAGTACTTGAGGTGTGGCCTCACCAGTGCTGAGTACAGGGGGATGATCACCTCCCTGCTCCTGCTGGCCACATTATTTCTAATGCAGACCAGGATGGCATTGGCCCTCTTGGCCACCTGGGCACACTGTCGGCTCACGTTCAGCCGAGCATCAACCAACACCCTCAGGTCCCTCTCTTCTTCACAGTCATCCAGCCACTCATCCCCAAGCTTATAATGCTGCATGGGGTTGTTGTGCCCAAAGTGCAGGACCCGACACTTGGCCTTGTTGAACCTCATCCCATTCACCTCAGCCCAGCGATCCAGCCTGTCTAAATCCCTCTGAAGGGCCTCCCTACCCTCAGACAGATCAACACCACCTCCCAGCTTGGTGTCATCTGCAAACTTACTGAGGGTACACTCAGTCCCCTTCATCTAGGTCATCAATAAAGATATTAAACAAGATGGGTCCCAGTACCGACCCCTGGGGGACACCACTTGTTACGGGTCGCCAGCTGGACTTAACTCCATTCACCACTACCTGTTGGGCACAGCCCTCTAGCCAGTTCCTATCCAAAAAAGGGTAGACCTGTCCAGTCCACGGGCAGCCAGTTTCCCCAGAAGAAGCCTGTGAGGAACCGTGTCAAAGGCTTTGCTGAAGTCTAGGTAGTCTACATCAACAGCCCTTCCCTCATCTGCCAGTTTGGTCACGCAGTCGTAGAAGGAGAAGTTCACAAGCTGTTCAGAAGTTCACAAACTCTTCAGAATCTCCTTGCCAAAACAAGCCATCTTTTGGTACATAGTATTGCTAGGAGCCGCTCTGAGGATGGACCTATTGACAGCCCTGTTTCAGTTCCACAGGCTGGAACAATGGTGCCAGATGCAATCAAAGATGAGTTACTTCAGCTTAGTACCCAGTAAGAGATAAAACAGTATGAAGAAGATGGGAATTCCATCTTATTTAAAAAAAAATATTAAAATGAGTGACAGGAAATTTCTCTCAGCGGCAAGAGGTTCAAGAAGACACTATTACAATGGCTATCCAGATGCTAGTAAGATCTTACAGAAAGTGGCTGAGAAGAAATTCAAATTGACCAGTCTGGAAATAGAATTAGAGTAAACTGACATAAGGAATAAACAAATATGCAGTGCTGCTCCACTGCAAAAATATCTGAAAGAGTCTAGAAACAGCTTCTAAGTCTATAAGAAGGCCAGTGCAAATCAGCCAGGCTTTTGGAAGCTATACTGTCACGTCAGCATGGTGCTCTTTTCTAGTTGAATTAATTAGCCTGGCTTCTTAATTAATTAGCCTGGCTAATGTACTCCTCTCATTACTTCTGGTTCCAAAGCCAGTTCATTCCTAATCAACACACATAGATTTAGGCAGTGGGATGAATGATCTCTGGATTGACTCCTCCCAAAGAAGTGAAATTATGACTTGCTTACAGATAGCAATTCTATTACAGCACACACATCTCCTACATTTTCCTATTTTGGTTTCCTTATCTACATGGTAGAATTGGCTTGAAGAACAACCTGACAGCAGGAGCTCTACTTCAGGATTCATAGAAAGAAGCCACAGAAATATCAGCAGCAGTTAAAGAACTCAGATATATTTCAGTATTCCCCAAAAGGGGAATAAAAAAAAAAATTTTTTTTGCAAGTAGTAAATAAAACACAGACCTCAAGTGGAAGCGCAGAGAGAGCATAGCAGCTACTTCCAAATACAAAAAAAAAAAAAAAAAAACCCTGAAAATAGCCAAATTGCAGAGGAACTACAAAGGATAAATAACAAATATTCATATAAAGGCAAACATTAGAACAAGAACTTAATTAAGGAGAGCAAAGCAAAAATCCAAAGCATGGTGTTCAAGAGGAGACTGCCAGTTAATGCAGATTTACATGCTTTAATTTTCTTCTTCAGTTGAAACTTGAAACATACTACTTTTATAGAATAACTGCAATTTGTTATTACTAACATGAAAAAACTCCCGTCTGCTATACAAAGGAAAGATAAGCATTAAAAGATGACACAAAGGCTACAGGGTGAAATCACTGAACTTAATGGCAAATATTCATTAAAATTAAACAGGGACCTTTCCTATTCTTAGCTGTGTAAAGAAAGCTGTAACTTTTCCTGCAGTGATTAAACTTTCATTTAAAAAGTATCTTCAGAAGAACATAGAAAGAATGATTCTAATTTACTCCCAGTTTTCAACAACTCCTTTCAAATCAGCAAAGTGATATCAAAATAAAACTATCACAAAAGAAAAACTATTTCATACTTGCACTGATTGTTTTCCTTCCTTTCTCTCTTTTGCATTCATTTGAATTTTCTGGTCTTTCTTGTCAGTCATAGCAGACACATTTTGTTAGTGTCAGCAAATAATAAAGTGAAATAACTCTGTGGCACTGGGAAACTGAGGTCTCATGTTGTTCAGGAAAGGAGTTCACCCCCACCTAAATACAAAGGTATTTATTTAGCTTATTACTGACTGTTTCAGTATTTGTTCCATTGGCAATGGTCTGGTGGCTTAGATGGACGCATGGTAGCACTGACATACCAGTAAAACCCTCCAGTCTGACTGATGGCCAGCTGCCTTCCAGGCAGACAACAGCAGAGAAATACTCTAAATCACTTTCTTATTGAGCAATGCCATTGCTCTGCAAGCCTTGATATTCCTTTCACTCATCAACTAATGCACTGTAATGCCAAGAAGACAACTTCCTTAATCTCCAGCAACTGACAAACTGGACTCTGAATGTAATTGTTACGACAACAGGACAAAATCTTTTTCTTCTCATTGTCCATGTCTAAAATCAGAATTCCCAGTCTTACTGTTAATTCAGAAACAAAATTCTTCAGAAGTCAATCTTGATTGATCCCAAGATTTCTACCACCTTTAAACAAAATCCCCAATTCGGGTCCAAGACAATCATCTGCTCTATTATCCAGGGAGCAAAAATATTTCACTTCAGAGAAACAATGTTTGATGTTCAAGTCTCATCCGAGGAATTTGCATTTTCCTCTGCCTACAACACCACAAAAGAACTGAGGAAGGTCTCTAATGGTCCTCAAGGTGACACCCACTAAGGCTTAAAGATAATTTTTGAGGAGCAAGGTACAAAAGGAGGGGTAATTATGAACATTTTGATACAAACATTATTCACCCATTGTATTGCTCAAAAGCATTCTATACTAACTGCAAAAAATATGAACTACTGAATATATAACAGCTTGTGCACATGCTGTATTCAGTTACTCTGCACAGTATTTAATTAAATTCTTTCTAAAGCACTCGTGAATGTTTGATTATGTAGATATTGCAGGGGAAATAGAAGTGCTTGTTATTGCTTGCAGAGAATAATATCCCCATGCATCATAAAAGTGTTACTTGAGATTTCCTGATACAGCAGGCAGAGGTCTGTGCACCACTGGAATAGAACTCCACCTCTTGGCCTTCACAGAGACTAAATTCATGACTGAATAAAATCACCACAGCTAAAATAAAATCATCACAAAAGCCATTCAAACTAAAAGGCATTGGAACATCACATTAATGTACAACAGTGGTACAATTACTCAGATTCAAATTACTCAAATACATACAGATATTTCTGAAATATGGCCCTGTGCAAATCTCATTTTTCAGCAGTTCAGGTTACAAGAACTGTAAATAGCTCAGCAGCTCCTTTTACTTCCAAACATTCAATTAAGGCATCATAACTATGTGAGCTTAAATCAAAATATAATTGTCCAACATTATTAGCAAGTATCATCATCATACAAAATAGAAATTAGCAATTCATCACCCAACTTAGTCACAAAGAGAATCCACTTTCAACATGACTACCTATTAATTTAGCATTGGTGTAATTTGAAGATATGACACTGTTTTTTCGCTTTTTCTACTCATTTATAGTAGTGAATTCCCCAACTGTGAACATCATTCTAACTTCAAATGAGAGCAGAATTAGAAGTAAATATGATTAAATGCAAAACAAGACGCAAGTGTCAC